TCTCTCTCTCTCTCTCTCTCTCTCTCTCTCTCTCTCTCTCTCTCGACATGACAGTAACGGTATAGACCTGACGTTCTGTTGAGATCAGCCCCCGTCGCTGCCGACGGCTGTGAGGAGCGCAGCGGTAATCCCACTTTTCGATCCAACCCGCATTTCATCTCCATATCGCGACCATCCCTCTCTGTCTCTCCCTCTGTCTCTCTCTCTCTCTCTCTCTCTCTCTCTCTCTCTCTCTCTCTCTCTCTCTCTCTCGCTCGCTCTTTGTTTAATCCCCATCTTTATTTCCTCGAGTTTGCGCCCCCCACCGAATGGCGGAAATCGCGTCGCGACTGCAATCGGCTCGGCCCGTGCGACCGTCACTTTGATAATTCAGTGGATGTCCCCTTTTTAAACTAAAATATGCGCAAAGTTTCGAACCGGACGGGAAGGGAGGGGGCAGGGGGAGGGGCGCTTTGCAGAGTGGACTAAGTCAGGCAAAGAACCATGGTGCCTTTCCATGGCACTTTGCTGCCTTTCTCGTGGACCAGGTCTGGCATCATAAAAAAAGTTACACGTTAAAGTTACATGATTCTCATTCTCAATTCGCTGACTTGTACTAAACTTTCTTAACGTTGCCATTTAGCAATAATTTATATATTTTTTGTGTGGGTGAGAAATGTATTGTTTTAATTGAGAATGATCGGCGATGCATTTTAATCGAAATCTTATCGTTTTTTTTCCTGATACCGAGCCCGGAGCTGGGGGTGGGTAAGCTGGGGGTATCAGCTGATTTGCCCCCCGGACGCTGATACAGCCCAGTCCAGAGTCCTTGTCGGCATCCGGGTGCCGGCCCCAACCCTTCTCCCCTCCTCTCCCCCGTGGCTTCCCCAATGCGCTTCCGGCCGAGCAACACGCTCGCGGAACCCCCTACCCCGGTCTCTCCCTCTCCCTCTCTCCCCTCTCCCTCTCTCCCCTCTCCCTCTCTCCCCCTCTCCCTCTCTCTCCCTGCCCTTCTTTCCCTCCTTCCGCTCCAGATGCTCCGCCAGGTGTGAAGACAATGAAACTAAACGCGACAATGTTGCTTCAGCAGCTTCAATCCTTCAATACCCGAGGAGACGCTGAGTTGAAAGGACAGAGCTGGTTTGGGGGTGGGAGGGAGGACGCCAGTCACGGGGGGAGGGGGGGGGGGAGGAGGGTGACCCAGAGGTGGCTCAGGGGTGCAGTTCGCTCAACTCGAACTACCCCTGCCCGCCCATGCTCCGCCACCCCTCCTCTGCGTCACGACCCCGCCGCTCCCCCAGGTGGCAACTGAAGTAGTAAGGGAGGTACAAGAAGAACGACAAGCAAGTCCTGAGAGTAGGGCGTCTTGAACAACTACTGCGCGTCTTGCGCCTCGTCTTAGTACTCCCACTGCAAACCGGAATAATACCCAAATCGTACAAATTCAGGCAGGTGTGTGAATTTCAAATTAATTGCACGAATAGGCATTTAAACACTTATACAGGTGTGTTGCACACACTGTGTCAAAAGTACTATCGGTGGTGCTAATACTGAAACTTTTGTAAAACCCCAAATTATTTAGTAAAGTAACCACACCATGGTTACCGTCTAGCTCTCCACACATTTTTTCATCTCTCTGGCTTTACATGCGCAAACAGCTCATCTGGCATCGGCATCCAATTTAGGAGATTTGTCGGTCTCGCCCCCCCCCCCCCTTGCTCTGCTGCCTCTCGGCTGCCTCGCTGCGCTCAGTAGGAGCAGGGTCAGGACCGGCGGCGGCCGCACCACCAGGATGCCGGGAGGGCGGCGGTAACGGGTCGGGTAGCGGCGGCCATGGGTCCTGTGGGGCTGACCCCCCCATCTCCGGGCCGGCGTCGCTCGCGCAGGCAATTAAACCCTCGTTGGGCGTGGCGGGGCGGGGC